ATTGCTATCAATTGTGATGCATGAGCGTCATCACGATCATTACGTGATCAATTGATTTAGATGCTTGAGAACACCTTAAATCGATTATCAACATCCCTGACGATAGCAATCGGTTAAAATCAATCGATTATAATCGACTAACTGCTTGTAATCGATTATAGTCAGGTTTTAAAATTTCCTGATGACAGTTGTGATTCTGAATTCAAGAACGATTTAGTGTCTTTGATTTGCAATTATTTACGGGAAAATTTGCCTGTAAATTTTTATGATTGAACTATTATTTTTGCGATTTAGAATGCACATCAATTTATAGTACAGCGTATCCTGATTACAGAAAATCGAACGTCTCGTACGTACGTACAGTACATACACGCTATAGCCATTGGGAAAAAAGTAAAACTCGTTGTAACGTGGCTATACATAAATTAAAAATATTATCAGAAATACAGCATAATAAAAAAAATATAGTTTGATAGCGATGAAAAAATTTTACAAACCATTCCAAGCAACCAAAATTCAACAGACCGGCCAAAATTTAAATCTATTTTTCATTAGTAAATTTTGAGCGAAATTTATCAACTCTAACCTGGAGCTGATGAATTTTGGTTGCGCGACTATACAGTCGACTCTGGATATACCGAACCTGCCTATATGGGGACCCCACAGCAAAGAGGCAGTGGGCAAAAAAAAATTTTTAAAACTCAATTTCTTGAAGAATTAAAGTATTAGAAATACAATTTTTTTAAAATTACAAAATCAAAATTTTTTGCCTTTTGCTGTGGGGGTTCCCATATAGAGAACCAGATCGGTATACCGAACTGTTCGGTATAGAGGAGTAAATTTTACTCCATACCAAACAGAATCTTCCAGAACATGCAGTTCGGTATCGACTGATAAACTAAGCGAAATTCTTGAGATTACTGATTATTTTTGGCACAGTGAATATAAACTTCAAAGATAGAAATAATTAAAAATATAGTACCCGCCTTAAAAGCAGAACTAGTTCAGAATGATGTCATTTATGGTTTGAATCAATGCCATAATTAAACCTGGCGTTTCCGCTTTACTAATGTTAACTGTTTTGATTATAATAGTAAGTACTTCAAGTGGTAAGTTTAAATCAAATTAGTGTTAGTAAATGCTTTAATTGTTTTTACGTCATACGTATCAGGTATAGTTTCAAATTTATACTAAACCGCAAGGGTAAGACCGGTTTTTGACAGGGGTGAACTTGTCCCTCATAGGAAGGTTTCGTGTGATTGGCTGATGTAAATCAATTGCCCGGGTAAATTTATACTTAATGTTTCACTAAAAGTATTCTGGGAGGCCTGAACCAATTGTTGTGGATCACATAAATATCCTTAGCGTTAGAATATTTAATAACATACTGATAAAATCATAATCTTTGTCAGTGAATAACATTTGGTTTACATCCATTTTAAGTGATTTTACACGAAAAAAATGAATCATCTCGATGAGACGATTTTCACAAATCCGATCGCAGGATTCCGAAATCGTAATATTTATGCTACAAAAAATAAAAGTTAAACCCATCAGGTTTTACCCGAAGTAATACAAACCTTTAACGCTCTCGAATCCTGTGATTGAATTTTGGCAATCTTCGGCTTATTAGAATCATCTTATCAAGATGGTTATTTTGGTGATAAACCCATCCAAAACGGATTAATGGATTCAATAACATTTTAACTACCTGTCATTATCGCTGTTTTCAAAAATGACCAACAAAAATTTTTTTGTAAATATTAATACTCGATTACATTTGCACAATAAACACATTGATCAAAATCGATTTCAAATGGTGTACGTACATACAGTAATTATTATTGTGCTAATGCAATCGAGTATGATATTCCCAAAATTTTTTTGCTGGTTATTTTCAACCATTTTTCGAAAACAGCGATAAACGATGGGTTAAATTTAAGACTATTAGAGATATTCACCTGGTTTTCTCTCGAAATGTTATAATCAATAACTATTTACGTTGAATTAGGAGAGTCACGAAACAAATTCTCTCAACAATAAAAAGAATAATATACATTGTTATGGATACGTGTTATTTCACCGACAGCTTAGTTCACCGACAATTAATTCAATTAACTTACCGACAATTTCATTTCAGCTCATTTCACCGACAATTATTTTTTATAAATTACACTAACCTTAACTCTAATTCTAACCTGACACTAACAACAATGACCAGAATTACTTTGTTGGTGAAATGAGCTGTCAGTTAAATAATTGTCGGTGAATGAACTTGTCGGTAAGTTAATTGTCGGGAAATGGAATTTATTGTCGATGAACTGGCGAAATGCGCACCACCCCATTGGTATGGTGTTTGTAGATAAAAAGATTTTATCAATATTAATGTTTGGTAATTGATCAATGCCTTTTTTTTTGGTGTCAGACTTTCAGTACATTGTTTATAAATGTTTAATACATACGAAATACATAATTTAAAACATTCAATAGTATTTTATTTTGTTTTAACAATATTCCTCAGTGAGACTCAGGCCTACATCTCTCAACGACATTCTACTTTGACTATCACGTAATAAATACAGTGGTTTGTTGTGCCTGAATATTATACTTGCCTAGAATTACTAACCAATGATGCACGTGATGTTCACTTACATAGTGCTAGAGTTAGCGTTTTATTAGTTGCGTGATGTCAGAAGTAAGGCAGATTCATGCAAAAATGTGCATATTTTAACATCGAATTGGCCGATACGTAGCATTTATTTTTTCTTCAATAATTTTCCTGATAAATTAAAGATTAACCAATATTTGATACATTTAATACTTCCAGCCTCCCCTAAATGCAACCTCAAACTTTGGTCTAAATATAGTTCTGACCCCCCATGAATACAATTGCTCTCTAAACGCATGTTGACAGTGGATTAGTCATAAATTTGCGCGGTGTTTAGATAATGCATACATCGATATAGCGGAATCTAAAAAGGCTGGTCGTCGTGCACAATCCAACGATTTAATATACCAAATATTCGCGGATATGAGCTGCAAGAGTGACTAATTTAAGGATGGCTAATTTCTTAATAAATTAGCTACTTGCTCCAGTGATTAGACTCGTTTTAATTTGTAATTCACAAATTAATTTGCTCAAGTTTTATTTGAGTTATTCGAGTCTATTTATAAAGGCAAATACATTTCATATTCAGATTGGAAAAGGAAATCTTTCAAATTTTGGTATATACAAAATTCGGAATGTTTCTCCAAATACAGGTCGAGTTAAAACATAGAACCCGAAATTGCAATAATTGCACTTCTTTACCTCTTGAATTACTGAATTAACCAATGACTTAACTAAGCTGACAACTTTAGTGATAATTTTATATAGTCCGATCATAATATATACTCATATGAGGAAGTTGGGCAAATTGGAAATTGCTGTCTATTGAGAAAAAAAGGCCAAGGGTACTTATTCATTGAGTAGAGGTAGAACTGACTTATCTGAACAAACAATCCGAATTTGTACTGACTTTCGTAATGCAACAAATGGTGAGATAAATCTTATGCCTACACGACAAATACCTGAACAGATAGGCGTCTCAATAAGTACGTACATTCAGACTTGATTTTTGACTGTAGTTATATACTAGGTGGAGAGTATAAGCGGAAATGAAACCTCTGCTTAACTGATTTATACCCTGCGTGATATATTATCGGACGTTTCTAAATAGAGAGTAGTACATCCCTTTTTGGATTGTACTGTATATAATCTCCCGTGTAACGTTAGTTGTGTATAACTCAGATCGGTTTTTTTCGATTCATCGGCATTTCTTTAATTTTCCTTTAATTTTCCTTTAATTTTGTATGTGTAATACTGAGCTTTTCAAACATCATGAGGGTATCATAATTATATAACAAACTTTAACACAATAAGAATCACTTATCACTTATTTCTTAGGTGTTCGTTTAGCATCTTAATTTCATAATAATATTCCATAATGATCCTTAAAAAATTATATTTGTTATATACAACCTTTTTTTCATCAAAAATTGTTCTGTTTTTTATATTATTCATTTTAACTACTGACCTATTACTGCCTATGGTCTTTCTCGATGAAGATGATATAACATCGGATTCACTTTCATGTAAGGCAAAAACCAAAAATTATTCATGAAGTATCTGAATTGTAACTTTTTATAATACATTTTTTTTGAATACAGTTCTAAATGATCACATTGTTTCAAGAAAATTATGTGATCCAAGAGTTAGACAGGTATTGCTCAAATTTATAAATATTACATATTTTTTTCATCTTCTAAGCAAACGATTAAATGATCCATTTATCAAATTCAAATTAGTATTCTGGATATTTAAACATTGCACCAGATTCAAATATGTTTTTTTGGTTTTTTGAATCTCGTAAAGATCCAAAAAATTCACCATTAACATTATGGCTTAGTGGTGGACCTGGTTATTCTTCAATGTTTGCATTGTTCCAAGAAGTTGGTCCTTGCAAAGTAAAAAGGAATATGAACAAAAGCAGATTGTCTGCGAATAGTTGGAATGAAGCGACAAATTTGTTATTTATTGATCAGGTCAGATGATCCGGACTTATCATTAGCAGTTCACTATCATAATTTTTTTTTTAAAAAAAAAAAATTTATTAACAAAAATTTTTAAATTAAAAGCCAATTGGTGTTGGATTTTCATACGGGACACGTATGGTGAATACTTCAGAACAAGCTGCCTTGGATATATATGAATTTTTACAAAGATTCTTTACAATGTTTCCGAAGTATGCATCTTTGGATTTGCATCTTTTTGGTGAATCTTATGGTGGTCATTATGGTAATGTCACCTATGAATTAGTCTTTATGATATATTATAATTTATTTATTTTTTTTCACTTTTTTTAGTTCCTGTCATAGCTAAACTTATTATACAAAATAATCTAATCAAAGCTGGCAAGATAAAAAATATAATACCGATTAATCTTAAGTCTTGCGGGATTGGAAGTGCTTGGGTTGATCCTATTATTCAAATGCAAGTTTTATTCATATTTGCATTTATTTCTAAAAAATTGCTGATAGTATACACTGCTAACCTTTGACATTATAGGAGGTCTTATGTTAATTTTGCAGAGAATAATACATGTAAAAATTCTTATCTTTTATAATCTTTTTGATGTTTAAATCCTTAAGACTTATTTTTCTCTACTTACAGATAAGCCCTTGTTAGGTCCACAGTTAATCGAGGCGATGCGTGATACATGGATATTATGCAAACATAATAGTATGTTTTCTATATATTTTATAATTTGATGCTCAAACTTTGAAAAATAACGGTCTCTTTTCAATTAACACAGTTGATGAATGTTATAAAACTAACACGACACAGGATTGTATCGCAGCTAATATAACTTGTTGGGATGGTTACAATGGAATATTTACTCAAAATTCTGATGCTGGCCTTTATGATATTCGTACCAAAAATGACATTCCAGTTCCTGTATATAAAAAATACTTGGAAAATCCTTTGGTTTTGGAATCAATCGGTGTTAATACTACTGAAATAACAAATTATTTAGAATTAAATGAAGAAATTCTTTTTAGATTTACTGATTCTGGTGAATTGTATGTACTATTTAAAAATAATCATTTGAATTTTACTTGAATTAAAATATTGACTTTTAATCTTAAGATTTCTTCCTTTTAATTAGGATGCATTCTACAATGTCTCAAGTAGAATTTCTTCTTGATAATAATGTACCAATAATGTTCTTCACCGGTGATGCTGATTACATTTGCAACTGGTAATATAATATTCTCTCAACATATTTTTATTCCTATTCCCTTTTAACAGAATTTTCTTAATTATTCCTTGAAAGGTTGGGTGGTAATGAAATGGCTGAATCATTGAAGTGGAAGCGTCACCAGGAATTTAAGAATGCCGTATTCCAAGAATGGACAATAGGTGACGTAAAAGTTGGGGAGATTAGAAAAGTTGAAAATTTATGGTTTGTTAAAGTCTCTGAATCTGGACATTTTGTACCACATGATCAACCAAGGAATTCATTAGAATTGTTTAAAATGTGGATTAAAAGTTTGTAAATTAAAAGATTTTTACTTAATACGATTTGGTGTAGACATTTAGGTTTTTGTGGATTATATAAATTTACATAACCAGCTCTGGGATATTATTTTTTTAAAATATTATAAGGACTATTAAAAGCATTTTAATTTCTTTGAATACAAATAACAATTATTTTTTATTACGTATTACACCTGCCTAAGGACTAGAATACAAAGTTAGAACTTCAATACTATATATCTTGCAAAAATATAATAAAATAAAAAGATTATATATAGCTTGATTTTGTATTAATCTTTATTTTAGATTTCGAATATCCCTTAAACCGTTTGTCAAATTTGCCCTGAATTTTTCCGACAGTCACGTGTTTATAAAAAAGAATTTTATATTAAATATATATAAATTTGGGAAGCGGAGCAGAGTCACGTGGTGTACGACCAATCAAATTATAGAATTTTGATGATCGCCGACGAAGCGAAAAACTTGAAAATACAAAAAATAGCAGTCTAAACCTACCTTGGATACGCTAAGTAAAAATGTCGGGAAGGCAATTTTGCTTATATGTGACTATCTAAAGCCTGCTCTAACCATAATCCAAGATGACCATAACCCTAAAGTTCATTTGATAAAATATATATTATAAGAATCTGCTCCGCTTTAGACGTCCCCCTTATAAGGCAATTTGTAGATGTGACGTTAAACCTTTTTTTAATTTGCTGCAAAAGAATCCACGCGGATTTGTTAAATGGTGTGAACAAGAACTTAAAACAACATTAGAAACAAAGAAACTTCATCCAAACATAGACAATGAGATTGTTGGTGGAGACTTTCATCGTAGAGAAGTATTCAAAAAATATATTTTCCTACAAGTATTCTACATATCGAATATTTTCAATATATGAAATGATTATGGGGTTTTTAAACAATTTTTCTAATGAAATTTCAATTATATATTAGAATAAATCTTCTGAATGGATGTAACTAATGGCGAAGGGATCGATGTAGACATTGGCAGTTCATTTGCTAAGGTTATAACATGGGATAAAGTTAAAGCATTAAATTATGATCATCCGACTTTATCATGTATAGTTGATTTGATTGAACTCCAAGAAGAGTTTTTTGAATATAGGTGTTCTCAAGCATCTAAATCAATTGATCACGTAATGATCGTGATGACGCTCATGCATCACAATTGATAGCAATA